CTATCTGCCCTGTGTCTTGCTCCCACTGGATTCTTCAGGAAAGATTAACCCCTTCTACCATTAGAAGCACAGACTTAAAACTTGCTTAGCTTATGTATATATTGCTGACCATTAGATTTACAGTGCTATATTTTTTTTTACATAACTCAGACAAACCCTTTAAGGTTTTTTTGGCATTTTATATCTTAAATGCACTTATGTGAATTAATTAATAGTAATTTAGACTTTAAATTTGGTTAAAAACCTATAATATAAAAAAAATACCAAAAATTAAATTTTTTTTGATAAATTTGAAGACAATTTTGCATGTTGTGGCAAATCATGAAGTCTAGAGGTTTTTTCAATATTTTATTTGTTTTCAGCACATCAAAATACATGGAGATTAGATGAAAATAATCAAACAGCTTTTTAGTCACAGACTTGTGAATTGAATTAATTTATTGTCCCCTATGAAGGACAGATCTTCAACTTCATTGAAAATCTAAACAGCAAAAAACAACGGATTTTCACTGATGAAAAGAAACAGCATCCCACACACAAAAAAGGGAACTGTGAATATGTATATGTAGCAGTCATTTCCCCTCTTTTGGGCAATATGCTTACTCTTGGGAAGTATTAATTCAAACTCACACACAGTCCCCACCGCAACATTGCTACACGATGTGGAAAAGGTATTCTTCAAGTGACTTTTCAACAAATGTTGATTGGGAAATGTGGGGAAATTTCCCTTGCATTTTCTCTGGGGTATTTAAGACCATCTACTCTTCTGTGTGTTGTAGTTATCTGGATATTTCTAAGGCCAGACAATGAAGAACTACAGGTAAGAGGAAATGGGATTGTTGTTGTTTTTTAAAGTTGAGGTGGAAGAGAAATCAGTTGATTGCATCTTTAGGTAGCCAGAGTAGTAGAAAAACAGGGAGTTTAACTATTAAGTGGAATGTTTATTCTTAAATGTTGTAATAAATCATGCACGGAGAACCTCCTGGAAACATTTATGGGAATACACATTTTCAAAAATTAAAAATATCCCTGCCTATAAAATTGGATGTAATTCAAGAAGCAAGAGACTTTTTTTATTTTTGTTTCTTTTGTTCATACACAAGAAAAGGAAAATTATATGGAATATAACAATGTTTGTTTTTGTGCCTTATAACAAAGCGGAGGCTAGTTCCTCTTTCAAATTATGGTTTCGTCTACATGGTTGTTATGAGCTGACATACACAACAGATACAAGATAGAAGTGATGAGAGAAATAGAAATGAGATTGGTTCCAAGGCTCTAGCCTCATAAGTGACCAGCCTTCACTTAGCATTATCCAGAATTATCAGACAGCATGGTCAAACACTGTGCTGACTGGAAGATTTGGGAATGGAAAAATTCATCACATCTAGAAGATTCTAGATTAGAGGAAGTCTGGTTGTAGTGATTTGATGGTTGTAGATTAGGGATTTCTCACCATCATCTCAAGCCACCTAAGATATTCTTTATCAGTGCTGCTTTGTTCTTCGTTCACCTTCTGCCATGCACGAAAAAAATCTTTTCAAAGCAATGAGTTGCCATTTAAGTTTCTTAAGGTAGAAGTTTTGTTTTGCATGATGGTAACTCCCCCCCCCCCAGTTATAAGAAACTGAAAGTATGAGAATCAGAGGAGACGGAAATCATCAAATCAAAGATGTGTTAAAACTTGGAGATGGCAATATAGAAGCCCAACTCTTAAGACAATAGTTGGACTAAGCTCTAACTGAGTATGCTATATTAATATTAACTTATTAAGTATGTTATGAGCAGCAAGACTTTTTAAAGTATGAATAATTGCTACCTGTTTCCTGTTCATTCTGTGCCACTTTTCCTCTCATTTATACATTTATTCCTCACTTTTCCTCTCATTTATACATCAGTATCACTAGGAGAATTTTATTTTATTTTGGTGGCCAGTAATCTGCTTCCCAATGTCACTAGGGATTAGTTCATCTGGACTGTTTTATCTGAAATTACAAATGCCAAAAGAATATCCGCTGTTGCAGAAATCAAAGCTGTTCAAATCACAATTTTATTCCTGCCCCATGGTTTTCAGGGCACCGGGTCCACTTATCACATTATGGCAGGAAACATAATTTATAAATTGCAGTACTGTCAGGAAATTTAAGGCATTGCCAAAGCCAAACAATTCACATTAAGGGATTAGCACTCTCTATGAAACAAAATACAGTACAATTCTTCATTGTATGTCTTTGTGGGACTTCTAATAGGCATATAAGTAAAGCCTGTCAATTTTATTTAGACACCTGCACTGCAGAGGGGACCATGTATGCATTTTCATGTGTTGTCCCTCCCCCCTCCCCAGTTCTGTGTTATATCCAGCTTTTGCATGCATGAGGCAAGGTTCAAGTTTCACATCATGATTGTAAATTTGAACAGGCAGGAAACGAATCATTGAGTAATGAGTAAAAGTACACTGTATTCAGATGCCTCAAAGTTAAGCCACCATGAATATAGTTCAAGCATTTTTAATTGGCTTTTTCCTATGTCATACATAAACAATAGCCTTGTAACAATAAGAAGTATATTCTTGAGCAAGAGACCTAAACAGTTAATTAATTAATTTGTTCTGCTGGGGGAAATAAACTAGTTCCACTAGATCTTTGCTGTCAAAAGTTTGGAGTCCTTCTAAACATCTTATGGTCATTTTAGTACTCACTCTCCCCCCTCCCCAATATTCAAAAGAAAGTAGTGGAGGATGCAAGACCTCCAACTTGTTTCAGATGGCCAAGATCCTTGCAACACTATGCTTTTTTCCCCATCAAAAATGGTAAGAATGGTAGGAATTGGGGAGAAGAGGGGAGGTCAGCAGCTTCCCGGCCTCCTTTGCTATGCAAGGAGGACTAACAAAATAGCTGCTATGTGAGAGTCCCAACTATCCTGCTCCAACAAAAGATGAATGAGTTGACTAGGAGGAAAGACAGCTGGACTCCTTGTGTTAGATATAGACAGAACGTACAACATTAGGTACAACCTCAAAGCTCTGAAGTTTTGTGTACCATGATTTGCCTATATATATATATATATATATATATATATATATATA